ACTAATTTCTTCTCTCATTTCTCTCCTTTTGCCTAGGAGCCTTTTCAGGTTTTCATCCTAGCCTCTCATTTTTTTTACTCACTCTTTTTTTTTTTTTGCTAATGTTGCTTAGGTTGCCCGTTTGGGTTTTCAACCTAACTAGCATTTCTTCTATTTTTTTATTTAATTTTTTTTTTGTGAAGAAAATAATGCAAGTTACAAGGTAGAAAAAATAATTGTGTACCAATGAGTGACTCCCCCTCACTTAGCTCGGAGCACTGTCCCTAGTGCTCATTATCGCCATCACTTTTTTTTGAAGATATGAAGTTGTGGATTGGGAGAGGGGTGGTTGCTTCCAAGAGTTTGTGGATTAGAGGGTATGTGGAGCAAGAGGACAGTGATGAGAACAAGATTATGATTTTTTTTTGTGGGGTTTGGTGGAGGATTTGGATAGATTTTGAAGAAAGAGGGATATGGTTAGGAGGTTTGGGGTAATTGAATTGGGTTCGAATTTGGAAAAGACGAATGAGGTGATTTTTTTTAGTGCAAAAATAAAATGCAATAAGTAAATGTACCTTGCATGGGTTGCCTCCCAAGAAGCACTTTATTTAACGTCGTGGCACGACGCTGTCATTGTGTTCAGTCATTCAAACTTGGATCGTGATAGTTTATCTTCTTCACACTTTCACTCCTAGGACTTCCATAGGAATGCTTAATTTCTTGACTCTTCACTTTGAAAATCTTTCCAGGATCAAATATCCAGATTTTCATTGATTCATGTGGTGGGAGTGAGGGAAAGAAATTATCGTTAAACATGGTTAACGGAAAATGTTTTGATCCCTCAATTTTGCTGAAGATTTCAAAAATGTCATTATCCTTGTCAATTTTATGAGTTTCCCTCAAAGTTTTTAGAATTGTTGGGGGTACCTCAAAGGATGACAAGGATAGATATTTGACCTTGAAACTCGGTTCATCCTCTTCTTTGACTAGCTGGAGCTCCGCGTCTCTTTCTTCTTCTACTTCTTCTGGATTTTGGATCTCCTTTTGCATTTCCTTCTCATTTGTCAATGTGATTGCAAAAGTTTGCTGTTTAGGATCACATTCTATTTGAGAGGGAAGTTTTTCCGAATCCCTTGCTTCAAGCCTACTTACGGCTCTGGCTATTTGAATCATTTGAGTTTCCAAGTTTGAAATGCTAGACTTGGTCTCATTTTGGAATTGCACCATGTTGTTTTGCATGGTGGTCATGTTGGTAGCAATAGCCCGGACCATATCCTCTGTAGACATGTTAGAGTTGGAGAACGGATCATACCTCATGTGAGGTGCATCCCTTTCGTAACCAACATCGTCAATTTGTTCAAGGTATTCATCTGGGAGCTTTGGGCAGAAATCCGTAAAATGCCTGTGAGACATGCAAATGTTGCATGTCTTGGCATCTTGAGCTTCCGAGTTTAAGATAAATCCCTTTATTAGAGAAGTCAAGAAAGAAATTTGACTCTCTAAGGATGATATGTTGGCATCCATATACTCATAACTCATGTAAGCTCAGAAAATAGAAGAGTAAGATTTTTTTTTAATTTTTTTTTGTTTTTGATTTTTATGAGATAAAATAAAAAGAAAAATAATTGCCTTTCCCCGGCAACGGCGCCAAATTTGACGTGCACTTTATCGTTGTGTGCAATCAAAATAAATACAATACAACAAATATACGTAGTATATTGAAGTAAGGTTCGTATCCGCAGGGAAAGGAATACTTCTCTTTTTATAAACTAATTAATAAAGGGGGGGTTTTGATTGAATGATTTAATTAAAATTGAACACGAAGATGAACGAGTTATGTGGTTTAATTAATGAGAAGAAGACTTGGCTTTGCTTTTATCCACTTAATGAAATGTTCGTCGATCCCGGTTATATCTTTAACTATCTTCCTCTCGAATACTCAATCGAGGAGTATATCCAGTTCATCGAGGGTAGTTATTAATAACGAGAAGCGTTCATTAATAAAACTTACTATCGAGTCAATATAGAACAAGCGCCGTATATTAACTTGATAGTAGCAATAAACTTAAGATGAAAACGATTGAGATTGATAACCTCAACACAAGCGGTTTATTGGTTTAATCAATATAATTAATTCCCCTTAGATTATTAACCATGAGATGCATGCATTAATAATCCAAGTTTACTACCATGAAAGGACCGAATTAATAACAAGCGTATTAATCGACCGATTCTAGTATTAATTAATATATGAAACAAAACTAGTTGATCCTTTAAGTAATGTTCAAAATATTAATATGAAATATGAATAGGAATTAATTAATCCTCAAGAAAGAATATTAAAGAGGATGAATCCTACTATAGTTAATATCAAGATGTTAACTAATTGTCATCTTAGTAACACTCCCCAATATTAACGTAGAGGAAGAAATAATTATTACTATAACTAATGTCAAGATGTTAACTAATTGTCATCTTAGTAACACTCCCCAACATTGATATAGAAATAGTATTTAAAGGAAGAATTAATATTCAAGGAAGAAGATTAAAGAGAATAACTCACAACTTACAAATTCATTAAGCTTCAAAGTAGCAAAACCAAGATGGAAGAGTTTAGTTCCTCATTTGGAGACTAAACATACTATAAAAATATAAAAGAAATACTATTCTAAACTGAGCTTAAGAGTATGGAAGAAGGGATGCTTAAAAGTGAAGGAAAATGGGGCTATTTATAGGTGTTTTGAAGGTGCTGCACCGGATACCCGACCGGGTATTTGAGATACCCGACCGGGTATTTGTCAAAATCAAATATTTTGCCCACGATTTTGTGTTTTCTGCACGTCTTTTTGTCCGGGTCACTTCATACCCGACCGGGTAAAGGCTATACCCGACCGGGTAAGTCACCAAATCACATTTCTTGCATGATTTCTTGTTCCCTTGCACTTTCCTTTGATCTTGTAAGATCCCTTCCATGATCCTTTGTTGATTCTTGATTGTTTCTTGCTCAAGATGATTCTAAATTTACTAAATTACAACAAACTAGAAAAATAAAATGATTGCACCTTAAATGTGCAATTACCACAACAATACACCATAAAAAGTAATTAAAAGTAAAAATATAAACACTCAAAAATCAATGCAATCAACCATAACCCAAAAATGACATGCGAACAATCTTGTCTTCATGAGCCGTTGCTAAGGAATCAATCAGGTAGAGTTTTTGTTTACCCAACCAATAAAAAGAAAGAAGCCCTCACCGTACCCGCCTTGTTGTCCACACCCCCTCCCTCTTTTGGTGGAGCGCCTGATAAGGCATAATCCATTTGCATATAGCTACCAAAGAATCTTATGGTGCTTCTCCCAAACACCACCTCTCATACTGTTCTTTTGCAACTCTTCATACATGTGCATAGAGTAAGATATCTATTTAGCTCAATCCCTCATGTTCTCACATGCCACTCGCCTTTTAATGGACCCCACTCCTCACATATCATTTGTAGGATCGATTTACCCCTTTTCTACAAGCTTCCCCCGGACTCGTTAAACTACAAAGCTATATGCTTAAATAGCAGATACATCCTTATAAAACCAGTTGGTCATTCGAAGGTAGATACACTAAATTTCACAGCTTACTCTATTGTGATCAAGCCAATTTGATTCCTATGGGGCACCCCCAAAAATCACTATGACAGTGCAGAGCTCCGATACTGAGCGGTGGATGGACATGAGGGGCTGCACCACATTGTGGTGCCAACAGTATGGGCCTAATCAAAGTGTTAGGCCCCGAATCAAAGGATGATGTTGATCCCCCATAAGACCAACATCGTTAACTCAAGTGGTCCATGATCCCATTCATCCTTGACTTCCAATGCATTTTTGTTTGTTGCCATTACTCTCCCACCACATTGACCCACTATCCAACCCCTCCTAGTCATCTCAATGCCCCTCACTTTGAATGTCACCTTCCATCGTGTCCAATTCTCAATAGCTATGAGCTTTCTATTAGCAAATCATTCCCCGAGGTGCACTCCACCCTTCATCGTGTTTGCCAGCAACCACGAATCATAATGTTTCATTCTCCGATGAACTCCATCTGTTCATTTAAGTTGAATGGGCATTCTGAACAACACATGACAAGTGTGACACATATACATACATGTTTTGTGTTGAGATACATGTTGCCACTCACGTAAAAATGAGTTATTTACACACCTTTTGTCCCATCAAAGTCTCGAAATGCACATATCTAAAATGCACCAAGTTATATACTCCTTCAGTTTGATCATGCTGCTTTGTGTAAGTAGTGACAGACTCGCGATGAGTTCATATACACACGGTCCATGTTTAAAACATGTAATGGGTCAGTTCTACGCTTGGCCCAACTCACGAGGCGTACCACCCAACTTAACCCTAGGGTAAACAAGCCTTACGCAGAGGCAGACGAACATCAGACCGACCTGCCCTGACAAGATCCACATTAAGACCGCCCATGTCTGTGAATGAAGACTACACTCCAAAGAAGGAAACTTCCAAGTCCAAGTGAGCGACATGTGCACGATGAGCCTATGGTAGACATTACAAAGTTACCAATTGAAGGAAAACTCCACACAAAACCACACCACATATGTACAATTAATTTTATTTTTTTGAAAAGAAAAACTGCTTATATTAATAGGGAAAATGGAAACTAATAATTCAACATTTTAGCAGTCTTCTTACAATAGTCTCACTTTTTCGTTATTCAAGAATACAACCTTTGCACCCCATCTTCATTCTTTAGTCCCTGACCGATTAATGACCTGTTATTCCAAGTCATTTTCTTATCTTTGCAAAATTTATCTTTGTGAAAGGTGAGATTTATGGTATAATGGTTTGCAAAGATAAGAAAATAACTTGGAATAGCAAGTCATCAACCGGTCAGGGACCAGCGAATGAAAATGTGGTGCAAAGGTTGGATTATTCATGAATAACGAAAAGGCGGGACTATTGTAAGAAGACCACTAAAAGGTTGGATTATTAGCTTCCATTTTCTCTATATTAATATCATTAGGAATCAAATTGTCACACCAAACTCTAAGAGATCAACATTGATAACAACTATCTGTAACCAACTATCGCTATCAATCGTTGGCCATATAGGTCTTTCTAGCACATAATACCTAGTAGAATTACAAATCATAATTGTAGATCTAAAATTAAAGACATCAATGAAAAATAGAGAAACGTAAACAAACATAACGCGAAAATAAAACCATAAGAAATCAAATGACTGATAAAATCAAACTCCTTTCTGCCAGTTTTCTTGAAACATCGTCTTCCAAGCCCTGACGCCTTGATCGCTCCTAAGCGGCGGTTCAGGAGGGGGCGAACTGTCGACCTGTCTTCTCCCTTGTTCAGCCCTTTACCGCTCCCGTCTGCTCGTCACTCTTGCCGCCTCTTAATATGTTTTCGCGTGTGACAACCTCCAGATTGTGGCCTTGATCCACCAACTCCTCTATTGGACTAACACAGAAAGCTCGGTCACATGTTGTCTCCTTGAAATCCATGAAGAACCAACTCCTTCCTGATAATCGTCGAGGCACAAGAAGAGAAGAAAACACCCACATAATCGGCGGCGGTCGGCGGGAAAACAAAACCATACGTAGAGGGACACGGCTGCAACTCTCGATAGAGAAAATTGTTAAACTTTCAAAATTGTATGTGAAACAGGGGCGGATCCACCAAGGCTGGAGGGGGGCAGCTGCCCTCAATAAAGGCCTAGTAAATCTATATAATTCCTTGATAAATATTAAAAGTCCATATATTTGCCCCAGTAAAAGAAATTGTTTGCCCCCAGTAAGGGAAGAACTGAAGAAGCAGACAAGCCTACGAAGAGGCGGAAGACTCCAAGGAGGTTAGCTGGTTAGCCGAACACCTTTTCACTTTATTTTTTAAAAATCTTTTACCACATAATCATCATTTTTATGGTAGAATGTTGCCCAATTTAATCGGTTAGTTGTTTAGTTGTTTACTGGTTTAGTCGGTTAGTCTTCCATTGGTGTTCATTTTGTTTATTCCTTGTTTAAGGTTATGCATTTCTTAATTTATATAAATACTGACATTTTTACGCGCGAGAGTCAATGCCCAAAAAAACAATTTATTATTAACAATGCTCAATCGTAAATTAGAACAACAACGTTTCATATAAAGCTCTCAAGTTTAACATATTTTGAAGCATGTGTCACTTAGTCTAAATATGTTGATATTCCAATCAACTATTAATTTTTATGATATATGTAGTTGTTAGTCACCACATATAATAAACATGTTCCATTGATATTGTGTCTTTGAACTAAAATTATTAAAAAAAAATTGTAAAAGTAATTAAGATTTTGATGAACCCATATCTACCAAAAGTTAATAACAAAACACCTAAATTGATGTGCTAAAATAACGACGGTGAGGCTTAATGATGAATCACTGAGCTCACACACAGACCAAAGGCGGAGCGGTCGCCGGGGAAGACGTAATCCCAGATATTTTAATGATCAAGTCTACATAAATTTACTGAGCGCATGGATGGACTCTCAGACGGGCTAGGAACCTCGGACTGTTATTGTTATTATTGGTTTTACTGCTTATTAGTTATTTATTATTTAAATCAGTTATTACTATTGTGCTTCCTTTTTATTAGGAGTAGTCTACGTACAACACTAGCATAGTGCCAATATTTTAGGAGCGGTTGTTTCCCAGTCTGTGTATTTATGCTTACATCTATGGAAGTAAAAAGGGGAGTTTTAGCCGATTGCTTTCTTCTTCTTCTGCTGCTCACTCTTTCTCTTTTTCTTTGAGAATTCTTTCTTCTGCTACTGAAGCAATTCAGCCTAGGGATTTACCAATTGGTATCAGAGCCAATGGATACCCGTGGGAAAACCAACGCCGAGTTCCGCACGGATATGCAGGAGGCTATTGCACGCCATGACACCCAATTTGCTCAAATTGCTGCAACTCTACAGGCTATCAACCTTGAACTACAAGCCAGTCGGATTGCTAGGGAACATCTAGACCATGAGGTGGACAATCCATTTGCTGCTGAGCATAACCGGAACGAACTTCGTCCTCATGATCCCAAGGCGCGATTCCCGAAGTTCAGTGAAGGGGATCCAGCCGGGTGGATATATCAAGCAGAACAGTACTTTGATTACTATGAGGTTACTCCGGATCGGAAGGTGAGGCTTGTATCCATGCATTTGGAGGGGTTGGCCCTTCAATGGTACCGGTGGTTGCTGAAACGAAGGGGACCTATCACGTGGGATGAGTTTGTGAGGGCTATCCGCCTCCGTTTTGGTCCAACGGAGTTTGCTGACCCTTCTGAAGCTCTGTCCCGTTTGAAACAGTCCACCACTGTCGCAGCTTATCAAGAGGCTTTTGAACAGTTATCCCACCAGATTGATGACCTACCTGAGTCCTTTCTTATTGGATCCTTTTTAGGGGGTCTGCGGGATGAGATCCGACTGGATGTAAAGACACTAAAACCACGAACTCTTGACGCGGCTTTTGGTCTTGCACGGCTAGTTGAAGAAAAATCACAAGTGGCCTGCCGAGGATCCTTCTCTACACGGACCACACCACCAAAACAGCCCATCACGGCGGGAATTCTTGGGCCTCCACCAGTGGCTCGACCGGAACTATCCAAACCAAACTCGACGATCAAAAGATTGCCATGGGAAGAGATGCAACGCAGACGATCATTGGGCCTTTGTTTCTCCTGTAATGAGCAATTTGCACCGGGCCACCGCTGCAAACATCCACAACTTATGCTACTTGAGATAGGAGAAAGTAACAAGGATCCTACTGAAGATGCTTCTGACAGCCAGGATGGTAACACCCCACTTGAGATTTCACTCCATGCATTGACGGGTTGGACTGCATACCGGACGCTCAGGCTTAAGGCAGAGGTTGGAGGACGAGAAATTGTTGTACTGATTGATAGCGGCTCCACCCACAATTTCATTCGGGATAAATTAGCAGAATCTATGAGGTTGCCTTTCTCACCAATGCCGACCCTCAATGTGAAAATCGCCAATGGAGAGCCCCTTCGATGTAATAGGCGGGTGGAGCGTGTGCCACTTCGGATCCAAGAGGCTCAATTTGAGGTCACATTTTATACTTTACCGCTCGTGGGGATAGATGCAGTGTTGGGGATGCAGTGGTTGGAACAACTGGGGGTGGTGTTAAATGACTGGAAACACAAAACCATGTCATTTATGCATCAAGGACAACAACATACGGTTCAGGGGATCTCATGTGAAAATAATCAACTAACATCAATGGTTATGGATGAAGTATACGAAGATGATACCTGTTTCCTATTGTCTGTTGCAGCCAGTTCAGACCATAGGGAGATTGAGGGGGATTTGTGGGCTGTGATAGAAGAATATGGAGATATTTTTGATGAACCGAAGGGCTTGCCACCATTTCGAGACATTGAACATCAAATTATCTTGAAGAAGGGGTCAGAACCAGTTAATGTCCGGCCCTACCGTTATGCCCATTTCCAGAAGGACGAAATAGAACGACAAGTTACAGAGATGCTCGACAAAGGGATCATTCAACCGAGTACTAGTCCCTATTCATCACCAGTTTTGTTAGTCAAGAAAAAAGACGGCACATGGCGTTTTTGTACTGATTATCGGGCTCTTAACGCTCTTACGGTGAAGGATCGATATCCCATTCCGACCATAGAGGATACACTGGATGAATTGCACGGGGCAGCTTACTTCACACGTTTGGACCTACGTTCGGGATACCATCAGGTACGTATGCGACTTGAGGACATTCCTAAAACGGCTTTCCGCACACATAATGGTCATTATGAGTATCGGGTCATGTCATTTGGGCTTTGTAATGCCCCGTCCACCTTCCAAGCTCTTATGAACAGCATTTTCCGGCCTTATTTGAGGAAATTCATTTTGGTATTTTTCGACGACATACTTGTTTATAGCCCAACCCGAGAAATTCATTTAGAACACATCCATACAACCTTTGCAATTCTCAGAAAGCAGCAACTATATGTCAAATTCTCCAAATGTGCATTTGGATTGAAGGAGCTACTATACTTGGGCCACCTTATTTCAGTAGATGGGGTGAAGGTTGACCCGGAAAAGATTGCACCCATGCTTAGTTGGCGCACACCTGCCACGGTCACCGAGTTGCGTGGTTTTTTGGGTTTGACTGGATATTACCGTAGGTTTGTTCGTGGATATGGTATTATTGCTAAACCAATGACAGACCTGTTAAAAAAAGGGAAATTCCAGTGGTCATCGGCTGCTAACGATGCATTTCAACGACTCAAAACAGCGATCAGCTCTACTCCAGTCCTCGTTATGCCCGATTTTAGTGCTCACTTTTATGTGGAAACTGATGCATCGGGACAAGGGATTGGGGCTGTCCTTTCTCAAAAGGGAAGGCCTGTCGCGTTCATGAGTAGAGCTTTAGGACCAACTAAACTGTCTTGGTCTATTTATGCCAAGGAAATGTTAGCAATCATCTGCGCTGTACGGCTTTGGAGACCTTATCTCCTGGGGCGCAAGTTCTTTATACTCACTGATCAGAGAAGTCTCAAACACCTGCTTGAGCAACGCATTGGGACTCCAGACCAACAAAAGTGGGTTGTCAAGCTCTTGGGGTATGATTACGAAATTCAGTACCGCTCGGGTGCCTCAAATCGGGTGGCTGATGCGCTTTCTCGCTATCCAACGGATGTGAGTCCAACTCTTAGTGTGATATCTTCAACAACAGCTGATATTTGGAACCAAATTGCTGAAGAGCAGGCTCGCCTCCCATATTTTCAGTCTTTGCGTATCAAGATGGATGGAAACACTCCCACTCACTTTACTGTCCACCAGGGACTAGTCCGATTCAAGAATCGTATTGCTTTATCTCCGGATTCCACCATTATACCCACGCTGCTGTTTGAGTATCACAGTACGCCCGTAGGTGGACATTCTGGAGTTCTCCGGACATTTAAGAGACTTTCTCAGGTTTTCTATTGGCCAAATATGTATTGATCTGTCGAACAGTTTATTGCATCTTGTGATGTGTGTCAACGTACCAAATCTTCGTCCTTAGCTCCTGCTGGTCTCCTTGAATCCTTACCCATACCAGAGCAAGTTTGGGACGATATTTCTATGGACTTTATTGACGGTCTTCCACAATCACACGGGAAAACAACCATTTTGGTGGTGGTAGATAGGTTGAGCAAATATGCCCACTTTCTGCCCATACGCCACCCCTACACTGCTCACTCCGTGGCTCTTACATTTGTGGAGGGAGTGGTCAAGCTACATGGCATTCCCAAATCTATTGTTTCTGACCGAGATCCGGTGTTCACGAGTCACTTTTGGAAGGCTCTATTCAGTGCTTCGGGCACCACGTTGAAGATGTCTACAGCGGATCACCCTCAAACAGACGGTCAAACTGAGGTGGTCAATCGTTGTGTGGAACAATACCTTCGTTGTTTTGTGCATAATCATCCGCATCAGTGGGTAAAGTTTATTCCATGGGCAGAATTCTGGTATAATACCACCTATCATATTTCTACTGGCATGACCCCTTTTCAGGCACTCTATGGTCGGTTGCCGCCAAGCATTCCTCAATATTCCCCCGGAAGGACACCTGTTGATTATGTTGATCAGTGTCTTGTAGGGCGTGACAAGATTCTGGAGCAACTGAAGACCACACTAGCTGCTTCCGTCCAACGCATGAAGAAATACGCTGATCAAGGGCGTCGGGAAGTCACATTTGCAGTGGGTGATATGGTTTACCTTCGTCTGCAGCCATATCGCCAACATTCCCTTTACCGCCGTGCCTCCCATAAGCTCAGTGCTCTATTTTATGGGCCTTTCCCTATTATCAATCGCATTGGACAGGTTGCATATCGATTGGCTCTACCTCCTGGAGCTAAAATCCACCCGGTGTTTCATGTTTCACTTCTGCGAAAACAGATTGGCAATGGTCCGGTATCTCCAACACTGCCAGAAGTTGATGAGAGTGGCAACCCACCCATTTTTCCTGAACGCATTTTGGCTGCTCGCACCATTGTTCGTGGCAGCGCTCCCATCAAGCAAGTTTTGGTCCAGTGGCATGGGCTCTCGGACGAAGATGCTACCTGGGAAGATGTGGGGCTCCTGCATCAACAGTTTCCAAGTTTTGACCTTGAGGACAAGGTCCCACTTAGAGGGGGAGGTAATGATGAATCACTGAGCTCACACACAGACCAAAGGCGGAGCGGTCGCCGGGGAAGACGTAATCCCAGATATTTTAATGATCAAGTCTACATAAATTTACTGAGCGCATGGATGGACTCTCAGACGGGCTAGGAACCTCGGACTGTTATTGTTATTATTGGTTTTACTGCTTATTAGTTATTTATTATTTAAATCAGTTATTACTATTGTGCTTCCTTTTTATTAGGAGTAGTCTACGTACAACACTAGCATAGTGCCAATATTTTAGGAGCGGTTGTTTCCCAGTCTGTGTATTTATGCTTACATCTATGGAAGTAAAAAGGGGAGTTTTAGCCGATTGCTTTCTTCTTCTTCTGCTGCTCACTCTTTCTCTTTTTCTTTGAGAATTCTTTCTTCTGCTACTGAAGCAATTCAGCCTAGGGATTTACCACTTAATTTAACATACATATAAGAGTTATATATAATATGTACATGTTACTTCTTCTGAGTCTTCTTTTAATTTTTTGTAACCATTGTTTACCTATATACGTAGTATTGTTTAGCTTATTAGTATTATCAATTAAGATGATTAATTTAGATTTTTAATGTTTCACTTTTATGATATATGAATTCATTTTTTTGTATTTCAATAGTTCTTTTGTGTGTTTTTGTCAATCAACTCAGTCAATAATTATATGAAATGAATTTAGGACATATGTGGTAATAAAATATTCTTTTTTTTGGAAGAATAAAATACTCTTTTTGTCCCTTAAACTTTAGCCAAATTTGAACGACAAGGGAAAAAATAAAATAAGGAGTGTGTGATTGAAATTTTTGTTGAGGAGCAAAATTAACAGGAACCACAAATTCTTTAATTAAAAAGGAACGTGACGAATTTAGGGAATAATCAAAAAAAGGAAGTTGACAAAGTTTGAAGAGACGGATGGGTTATATTTTAACCCAATCTCTTCATAATTCAGTAGTTTCGGGCAATTCAATTTTTAGAGTTGACAAAGACCCAATGACATAAGTTCATTTTGAATCTTACTAGACAATCTTTAATCTTCTAAACTAAAAAAAGGATTTTTTTTTTGTAATTAATATTACTCCTATAAAGGTTAAAAGCAACAATGCATAAGCAAAAAACATTTTAACAATTTAGTATATTTTACTAAATTTTATTAGTTTAGCACTTTAGCCATATCAAGCACAACTTCAAGAGATTAATTAATCACTCAAAAAATCTAAACCATTCCAAAAATATTCTTTTATATTTTAAAAAGAAGTGCTTCTTCATAAATAAACATTTTCGTTCTGTATTGACTTAAGTATGCCACAAACGTTTTCATTCTTAAAACACCAAAGGTATGAATGCAGATGGCCCACTATGAATTATGAAGTACTCTTTAACTTTTATTGAAGAACCGTCAATTACTTCTAACGGTGGTAGGACAATTTTGTCCATCAAAATTAGGGTATAATATTTTAATAACAAAGTACAAGTTCTCATACACTGAAAGTATTGACATAATTTAAGGATACCGACCAACACTCACAATTATAATGTTTTTAGATATTTTTTATAAATATTAAATAATGTGATTAAACTCATTATAATGCTATTAATTTATTATTGCATTATTGATTTACGGAAATTATATTTAATTTAATTGGTGATTTAGTGGAATAGTTGTACATCTATTACGGTGTAAAGTTTGATGTTTTATGTACACTAGAAAATAGAAAATGTCATTTTACTAAATTAAATAATACTCTATATGTTATTTTTGTATTGTCAAATAAAATGTACTCCGTATTAATGTATACACAAAAGTATAATATTAATTTCACTTCTTTTTGCACTCACAATAAAAATATATTGGAGTACATCAACACCAACACCAGGTTGTTCAAATAGTAATCCATGTTTCTAATAGTCGTTTTAGAGTTCATCAATATGTGAAAAAGTTGATTTGGATGAGCTTTCCTTAAATCTCGTAGTGCAAACCATTGCGATGTATTTCCTCAAGATTTTTTACTATTGTAATATTACATTAACAATTTATTAAATTTTATTTTAATTAGATTTTATAATTTCTCCGCCCCTAATAAATATTTTCCTTGGATCCGCCCATGATGTGAAACTAAAATTGTAATTATATTAAAGTAGTTTATTATTTCAAACTACACACAAATTGATAGAGTTATGTTAAATCGCTTCAAATTTATTTAACAAAAAAATGGATAAAAGCTCAAGTAGGGTAAAAGAAGAGTTTCGAGTTCTTGACTTTTTGGAAGCTTAAGGCTCTGTTTGCAATCACTTGTGTTTAAATAAAAGCACTTTTGGGAAAAAAGTGATGAGTAGTAAAACTTGGTAGTGTTTGATAAAATAAGTGATTTTTGTGTAATAGAGAAAGTAAAAAATAGATTCTACACGAAAATCGAGAAAGTAAAAATTTGTAATGTTTGGTAAAATAAGTGTTTTTTTCTTAAAAAAAAGTCACAATCACTTATTTTAAGTGATTGCAAACAGAGCCTAAATTAGTGTAAGGAGATTGGGGGTTGAGGGAATTAACTGCTCCCGCGTTCACCTTTGAGTGTAACATTCGTGTAATAGTTACACTCATATTTATAAATTAGTGTAACATAGTAATGAATCATAATGTGTAAAATTCTCTCAATTTTGAGTTTTCTTATAGAATCATAATGACACTGGGGTAACATTCGTGTAATAGTTACCAATCATATTTATAAATTAGTGTAACATTCGTGTAATAGTTACCAATCATATTTATAAATTAGTGTAACATAGTAATGAATCATAATGACGTTTCTTTCTTATGAAAATAAATTTGAATGATTTAATTTGATTTATTATTGTCGAACTCTCTACATTACTAGTTAATCACGTTACATTTACCTTTTTAAACTACGACATATTTCTTAATGTTGTGTGTGATAATGTAGCTAACTTACAATATCATTAACAGGAGATTAGTAAATTTATGCAAATCAACAAAATTCATGGAAACCTATAATTTAATAGTCTTGGTGCATTTTCAAAAGTCTACCTATGCAAAATGTTCACCACAATTCATATACATACAATACACTCCTAAAGATCTGTCGAATATCTTGTAATTAAACTATATTATTATTATAATTATAATGTTTATTTACTTGATGAGATAGTGGCCGGCCGGCCGGCAGGGTTGGGATCAGCGTCGCCGCGCGCGCTAAGGTCGTCAAGATTTGAAGTGGTTAAATTGGTGGAGCGCCTGAGAAATGGTCCCATTTTGCGGCGGAAGCCTCCACACAGGGCCAGGCACGGCGGTTGCCGCCCGGTAATCTTGCCCTACTGGGTGGTGTCTTTTTCGCACCGCCCTGATCGGTGGCTCCATCGTCACCTCCAAGATTCCTCCGCTCTTCCTCGGAGGCGCAAATGAATGATCCGATCTCCTCCTCCTCACCATATCTGCAGAGAATCTCCCTGCTTGCAACCCTGCATTTCCCTGTAAAGTTTCACATTAATTGCTGCTATCAAACTTTATATTCAATCTTCTAAGGTAGTAGTTCATTTAATTTACTATAGTACTAGTGTTTTACCCGGGCGTTGCCCCGGGCGTATTTAGAGAATGTATTAGGAAATAGTTGAGTGGCATCTTCTCAATAAAATTTTTATCATATACAGGTTGTGGACTTGTCCAATTTGTGCACTGCTTATAAATCAATTTGTGGGACCAAATTCTATGTTGATATCATGCTAGAATTAGGGATGAAACTTTTATCACTTCAAGTGTTTGACAATATACTTCTGAATCAAATCATACTAAAACAGTTGCTAGTTAAACAGTCTTATGGACTCATTAGTATGAGGTAAGAACATCTGAAGATGTTTTACAAGAAACAAAAGAATTTGACTTGTTTGAATATTAGCTATGGATTATTGTTCTTAGGTAATTCTCTCCTCTTTAAAGCTAAACTCATTAAGTATTACTTTTAACATGATATCTATCCTAAGAGATCCTCACTGGAATTATAGGAAAAGAGATGCATCTAATCCTCGAGGGCCGAGAACCGGTCTAATTGTTTGCTATGAAAAGGGATGCATTTCATCCTCGAGGGACCGGAACTGATCGCATAGCTCGCTGGGAGGGTTAAATAGAGCTATAATCACAATCATGGGACATGTGTGTGTGTCAAAATGTGTGTACAGCAAACAAACCTTCAATATAGAAGAAGAGTATGGCATTGGGCAAATGATGGGGCGGTCTTCTCCAAGAGGTTCAGTGGGATGCTGCACGGGAGAGAAGGCAGTTTCACTACACAAGAACCTGCTTCCATCCTGATCTCCATCTCCATTCTCCATCTCAAAATCCATGGCTGTTATGTTTTTCTGTCTCTTCTCTACACTATCCCTCCCACCAATCATGCCTTCTTCTATTCCCATCACAAACTTATTATATTCTTTCTGCCTTGAACAGCCCTCATAGCTAGCTAGTGTTATCACAACATATATAATATGTATATAATGGAGGATTGGAGGCCAATATAAAGCACATATATATATACACATGCACACACTTCACAATTGATGACTTTAATCAACAAATGGTCCCATGCTCGAACAATTGTATACGTGTAAATTGTTATCATATTAGATCTTTTATGATGAAACTTTCGGGTCTAAATAGAATCATTAGGAACAATCATTTTGATTATAATAAATCTTAATATTTCTTCAAGACTAAAGTGATTCTATAGTAGCAATTTTGGGACTGCATTTCAAATTTTTGTCATATTTGATCTTTTTTATGGTACTTGTGCGTTTCAACTTTCAATAGAATATCAGTGTCTGTTACTTTTAACAGAGATTTGGTAATAATAAACATTAAAGTTACTTTACACTTAATGACTTAATGTGATTGTAGAGTAAAATTTTGGGATAATACTGGGGGAGTAAATTACAGAAAAAGTGAGACATAGAGAGGTATCTGACAAAGAAAATGCTCTTAGGCAATGGCCGCATGGTATGTAGGGAAACGACAAAGACTAGACATGTTACATTTTTTGGACTTAGAAATGGGGTAAATTAATAGTAAAGCAAAAAGCCTAGTGACTCTGAGTCGTTAAAAGCTGAGCTCCAATTGCCCCCCATACAAACTTTATCGTGGAGCATGTATATATAATTAGATCTGGATTAGAGTAGGTTAGATTAGAATAGGTAATATAAAAATACTTTTCCCATCTTTATTTTAGATTCTTATTTATTTCACGATTATGTTCTTGTTTTGTTTTTTGTAGTCAAAATCTGGTCACTTTGATTGGTAATTGTGCTTAAATAATGCGTATTAAATTGTCACATGATTTTTTAAAACCATTTAGTTTAGTACACATATTTGAAACACTAATGTATAGTATAGACTATTACATGTATAATGTACATTATTATAGCCAATAAGCCAAAGCTTGACATTCAATTTTTGAGGATTATATAAAATGTTGTGCAACTATCTAAGTTTTCAAATTGAATTGATTGTGATTATTGCATTTCTCCATCAGGTTTACCCTCTTTTTTACATTCTTTTTTTGCGAATTTTTAGTCTTGGTCTCCCTCCATCAGGTACTTCCTTTCATTTCTTACTTTTAACTAGTAGTAAGTACCGAAATATGTAACAATGTAAGCATGCACTTTGGCCAAAATTAAAAAAGGAACTCCTACTTTTTGTTTACTTTGTTTATGTCCTTCCAATGTTCAATAATTCAATCTATAATCATATAAGGTGTAATGCTAGTTTAAGTATTATGATGTATAGGAGCAAGGTAAGAGTAAGGTCATTAAGGAAAATGGTATAGAAATACATCATTCATCTTATTTAATTATTGACATGCTTTAATTAAAAAAGGTCAATTCTTTCTTTTTGTTTGCTTCCATTACATATTGGATCAAATAAAAAAATGGCAACGTGTGAAAGAGATGATTCTCATATCTTTTGCTTTTGCACATTAGATAGGGAAAGAAAAGAGTCTCTTTGCTTGAAAATCCACGCCTACATCTCAAATAACTTTAATTTATGTTCTTTTTCACTTTATATTACTAGTATTATTATTTTTTTAGTGTACAAGACTACAAGCCACCGTATTGACTCCTTAGTCCTCGCTAGTTTAACTTGCATACACTGGCCCCAAAAAGAAATCAACTTGATCGAAAGAAACATGTTTAGAAAAACTTGTTTTAATCAACTTGCATGCACTGGCCACATATGCAAAACTTGTTTTTGCAGTACAAAACTTTCGACGACTGGAGAATGCAGGTTCCACTAGAAATCGGTTAATTAACCACATATTTTTTAAATACTCTGTATGAAAAAACTATCTATAGTTTTATATAGTAAAGTTGAGTTAAAAACTAATGATATGTTAACCTCCTATGGATAATGCAAATTCTATTATCACAACAATTAAAACAATTAAATAACTCACACGGCTGTTTAAAGAAAACTCATAAATCATGGCAGATTTGGAGGAAAAGAAGGAGAAATAATCTCTCTTTTTAAAAGTGATATAACTTTAATATTTACAATCCAATTTTTACAAAATATATATCAAAATTCATAATTTTTTATAATTTTTCATATGACACCAGTATCATATATAAAAAAATATAAAAAAAACTCATATTTGATCAAAGTTGGATATTTAAAGTAATAGATTGAGAAGACTTTTGATTGACTGGAGAATAGTAGACGTGATGTTTTGATTGGGATGGAGATAGTATTTCATATAGCAAAACCGAGTAAAAAATTCCATTGATTTATAAAAGTTTTATTATGAATGCAATTAAAACATTGAATTCATATAAGTTGACTTGGCTCATTTGGAGAAAGGGAAGGAGAAAAAACAATACCTTTTAATGTATTACGGAGTATAACTTATTTATTTGTACACCAATTTTTATAAAAACACATCAAAAATTATAAATTTTTATGATCTTTCATATGACACCAATATTGCATATATAAAAATAAAAACATTATTTTATACAATAGATTTGGGTTAAAATCAATGAGGTGTTAGTCTCTTACCGATAGTATTTGTTAATAAAAAATTTATTATTTAATTAATTCAAGTTCACTCGGTGCATCTGTGCTATTCACCAGATGCATAAGTGCTATTCATATTAATCACGCCAACTCATTTGGAGAAAGTGAAGGAGGAAAGTCTCTTTTAAAGCGCTATAACTTTTTTATTTGTATTCCATCAATATTGTATATATAAAAATAAAAAATATTATTATTTGATATAATAAAATTGAGTAATGAATCACTAATGTGATTGTTAATAACTTCTATAATCACTACTACTATAACATTTAATTAATTCAAGTTCACTCGGTGTTTCAATTCACTACTACTTACTCGGTGCAGCATTGTTATTCACCTTAATTATGTCAACTTATTTAGAGAAAGTGGAGGAGAATTTTATTTCTTTTTTTTTGTACTCCAATTTTTATAAGATATGTATTAAAATTCATAAGTTTTGTCATCTTTCATATTAAACCGATATAAAAATAAAAAAACTGAATTATGAATCAATGATGTGTGAGTTTCTTATTGATTGATAAAAATTCCATTATCACCACTACTAAATCATTGAATTAATCTAAGTTCACTTGGTGTGTTACTATTATTCACTTTGTGCATCACTGCTATTCACTCGGTGCATCACTGCTACTCATTTTAATCCAATATAATCAACTCATACGGTGCATCAGTAGAAATTTAACAAAAAAATATAAAAAAAGCCATAACATTTTATGGTCTTTCATATGACACCAAATTACATATATAAAAAAGTATTGTAAAATTGAACTATAAACCAATGATATGTAATATCTATAGTGAAATTTGAGCGTAAATGCGTATTATGGGAAATGCACATTTACACAATAGTCGTGACACACTGACACATAAGGATTAAGGAATCCAATTTTCATTACATATTTAAATTTATTATTTTATTTAGTAAAACAGGATTACAAACTGCTAACATATATGTAACTCTGTTATTGGTTAACAAATGTTCTACTCCGTATTATCTTTATTATGAAAACATTTAATTAGTTCCAAACAAAAAGGATGTTGATTAGCTATATACCAAGTATAATGGAAAAGGAAGGAATAAAGTAGGAGGAAAAAATGTTAAATAACTAACACTTGACATTATGTAGGCTCCACACATTAAAATATTTAAGGAAATTTCCTAAATAGGAGCAAATATGTTTTTTAGTATTTGTCATTAGATCATATCACATTAACACTATTGGGACATGCCCCCTTTAATGACTTCATTGCAGTCTTTTTATTTTTTGCTAAAGTGATATTACATTTTTTTTAGTTCGACCAGATCATTACATATATATTTTACCTATAACATTGATCCAAAATCAATTCTTACTGTAATCGTGGTATTCACAATCAAATGCTATATTTAAGCCTTTCCTGTTACAACATACTATGAACCTTTTTCAACTAATGTGATCATAAACTGAAAACAAAAATAATAATAATAATAAGCCTAAAACCAAAAGAATAACAATTCACATGTCCATCAACTTTTTAAAAATCCCCTTTCTCATTTCTCGGCAAAGTATTAGTAAACTTATTCTTCTTTTTTTTTATATAAAAAATGTTATTAAACATCATGTTAATAAGTCATAACCTTTTAAATCATATTAACATGACACTACCGGGGCATGCCCCGGGTGTTACACTAGTGTGTAAACGGAAAATATATACTTTATGAGCACACCCCTTAATTGATGTGTACAAAAGACAACTAGTTTAGAAAAAGTCACTAATTATCTATATAGAGGCAAATGTACAAAGAACATATTCTAGATCATTAGTACCGGATCGTTCCAACTTCATTAGATTAATATTTAATAGTAGTTCCCAAAATTGTATCCTCGATTTAATAGTAGTTCCCAAAATCATATCTGAGAAGAAGGGGCGTGTTATTCATCCGATTTGGAGAATCAAAGGGTTTTAGGAAGCTGTGCAGAATAGCGGCTTACGTGACTTCCCTTTTGATGGGTACCAGTTGACCTGGCATAGACCTGGACATAACTGCGGAGTGGAAGAAAAACTTGATCGAATCCTTGTCAATGATCAATGGTGGGATATGTTTATGGAAGCAAGAGGATGCTCGGTTGAAGCGCCAACAAGTGATCATATGGCGTTAACCCTAAGAATTAGTCCAACCGTTCGCGGAAGAAAGCAAAAGACGTTCAGATTTGAAAATAATTGGCTACGGGAATTGAAGAGGAATGCAGAACTATAGTTGCTAATAGTCGACCGTGTACCGATGCCCATTTGTGATAGAATTATTTTCTGTGGGAAGGAGCTAATGAGGTGGGATAACAGTAGAATGAAAGGTTTTAGACATCAGATTAATGCCTGTAAAAAAAGGCTATCTTGGCTAAGAAGACGTGATGATGCTCATAGTGTGGCAGAATTTT